GGAGAAGGTGACTCAGGTGAATCATACTGTATTATATTGCAAGTGCTTCTCAAACTAATCGAATTTCTATCGAGACCATCTGAATCAGTTTGTGATTCTTCCCCACTCTAAAAATTATAAAACACATAATCCATTAATATATTTTTAATATAGCAGCAATTTTATAAACTACACTTCTTTATACTATAAATCAGCGGTTCTTAACCTATGGTCCGCGGCAGCTCTAACACATAACATACATCAATACGTGGCATGAGTGCATTATTATTAATAATGTTGATTATTTGTTTTTTCATATATTTTTTATTATACAATAGATAGATTTTATCTTTATAGAATGTTCAAAAACTTGTGTCTCAAGTATAACATCAACCATTGCATTAAATTAATAAAGTTTCAATTTTAAAATTAAAAAAAAAAAAATTAATATAATTAAATTAAAATTAACTGAAAATAGTTAAATATAATAAAAATATTATAATTTTGGTTTTAATGACATGAGATTTTTTGTAAAAAAAATGTATTAGAAAAAAAAATTCAGTAAGGAGGGTCCATAGTTTGTAAAAATCTTTCATCAGAGGTCCGTGATCCACAAAAAGTTAAAAACCGCTACTATAAATTAATAACTGAAAATAATAATAAATTTATAAATATATGATGAAATGGTTTCATACAATTTGGTCAGTTTCGGGAGAAGGTGACTCAGGTGAATCATACTGTACTATATTGCATGTGCTTCTCAATCTAATCGAACTTCTATTGAGACCACCTGAATCAGTTTGTGATTCTTCCCCATTCTAAAAATTATAAAACACATAATCCATTAATATATTTTTAATATAGCAGTAATTTTATAAACTAGACTTCTTTATACTATAAATCAGCGGTTCTTAACCTATGGTCCGCAGCAGCCCTAACACATAACATATATCAATACGTGACATGAATGCATTATTATTAATAATGTTGATTATTTATTCATTTTTTCCTTTATTTTTTATTATATAATAGATTTTATTTTTATATGATGTTCAAAAACTTGTGTCTCAAATACAATATCAACCATCGCATTATATTAATAAAAATTACATTTTAAGAATATTAAAAGAAAAAAAAAACTAATATAATTAAATTAAAATTAACTGAAAATATTTAAGTGTAATATAAACAATTATTATAGTTTTGGTTTTAATACAAGATATGTATTGTAAAAACAATGTATTAGAAAAAAAAAAAAAATTCAGTAAGGTGGGTCCTTAATTTTTAAAAATCTTACATCAAAGGTCTGTGATCTACAAAAAGTTAAGAACCGCTGCTAAAAATTAATAACTGAAAATTGTATTAAATTTATAAATATACGATGAAATGGTTTCATACAATTTGGTCAGTTTCGGGAGAAGGTGACTCAGGTGAATCATACTGTAATCTTTTGCATGCACTTCTCAAAGTAATCGAACTTCTATTGAGATCACCTGAATCAGTTTGTGATTCTTCCCCATTCTAAAAAAAAATAAAAAACAATAGTTCATTAATGAATCTATTACTTTTGTAATTATAATATCAGCTATACATTTTTAAAAAATTATGTACTTATATAATAATAACTTATGAGTATATTCAATAAAATCAATAATAATAAAAAGTTTAATTAGTATGATTTTCGTAATTAATTTATAGGCAAGATTCAAAATATTTATTCAAGTGTTTAATTTTAATGATAAAATTTACAATTTATTGATATTTTGAAAATATCATAAATTAATTTGTTATTTAATTTAAACAAAATATTGAAATATTATAGTTTGAATTTTTAGAAGAGAAATTTTTCTTAATACTATTGAAAGTAAATAATAATCATCTTAATAAAAATGAAAATAATATTAATACCTATATTAAAATATTTATTTATAATAGTGTGTGTACATAATGTAAATAGAAAAATACTTGTTTAATGGTATCAATATCAGGACTAAAGACAATTGGAGAAATTCGAGGTCCACGTTGTTGTATGACTAATTCATCTTGGGATATATAAGTTGAAGAAAAGTTGAAGTATGTATTGACAATGTTAGGAATTTGATCAATTCTTCTGTTAGTACCTAAATTTAATAAATTTTAAAATATATTTTCAATGTAATATTGACAAAAATAATTTTTTACTTACTACCTTCTCTTAATGTCAAAGATAAATGACCAAGTGGATCAAGTGTAGTTGGTATTTCAGCTAATACACTCCTAGTCATCATACGAGTTTCTGTAGAATTAGAAGGAGCATCCATCTTAAGGCATTCAATAATTGTCCTTACAATATATTATCTATAAAATACATAAAATTAAACAAACTATTTAACAATATTAAATAATAATAATTTTAAAATATAGAAAGTGTATAAGTATTAAACACTGAGTTCCATATCAATTGTTTGTATTGTAATTGAATTTACACTATTAATGCTTTTTCAATGTTACTATTTTAATCATAATCATTATTATTGTTCCTACAAGTATTAAATGTTTATCATTTTTATCATTTGTTTTTAAATTTTTTATTTCGATATATGCTGTTAAATATTTTTTTTACAATTATATCTTATATAAGAGTTAATTAAAAAGGCAAGCTGCATAATGTAAAAACATTAAAATAATTTAGGAAATTTATTTTAAATTTTAATAAATCTAATATACCTATGTAAAATACTAATACTAAATACTTTTAGTATAATATATTTTTACAAAATAACTGTAAATTTATGTATTTTAAAATATATTTATCTAAAATGTTATCGTGAGATTGTCATAATTTACATCATTGGGTGACAACAAAAAACTATTAAATGTTTGGATTATAGAAATCAAATGTTATTAAAATGTTATTAAATATTTCATTTTTTATACATTATAAGTATTACTGCTCTATAAATACTTTCATATAAAAAAACTAGTAACTTATATAGGCAGATGTGCATCATAGTTAAATACAATTAAAGGTACTACTGAACTTTTACTTATTAAAATTAAATTAAAATATTACCATTAAAAAAATCTATACCAGAAATTGAAAACTTATACATTTTTTTGTTACATAGATACAGTATAATATATATATATTGTTATATAATTAAAACGCTCGATAAAATTTAGAACAATTTTTCTAATAAATAATACTACCAAATTCAACTAAAATTTAAAATACAATTAATATTGAAGCTTCTATATTATATAAGAAAAAAATCAACTAAAAGAAGATAAACTAAGAATCAGATTATGAATATTAATTTTGGTATTTAACAATTACCTACATAGTAATAGTTTGAATAATTTTTCAATAAAAGTGCAATAAGCAAAAGAATACTTGTTTATTTACAATTTGGGATAAAATATTTACAGTATTTTAATGATATGGAAGTAGGCTGTATATGAATATAAAGTGTTAGGGTGTAAGTACAGGGTAATGGACATTTGTGAGCAACAATATTTTTCAATTTAGAAAAATAAGCAGAAAGAAAATTTGCATTTTCGCTTCAGAATTTGTATTTCAGTAAAGCCTACAAGTTCACGAGTACACATAGTAATGTTCTACAATCAAATTACCTATGTACGCTGTCGGTTAGTAAAATATAATCAACTTCATGTAGATTTAAGTCGTATTACACAACTATGGGACGAATGTTGGATCTCAAGCCTCGAGTTATAAGTAATGAGATATTATGACCGGACTGCAGTGAAAAACGTTCATAAAAAGAGAGGGAAAGAAAATAAACGAAAAGAGAATATGACATGATAAAACACAAAACGCAATCGATGACAGTCTACCCACACTATCTCTCGACGGCGTCGGCGTCGAATCGCGCGGCAAAATGTTTCGGTGATGAAATACGTTTACAACCACATACACGGTCGACGGCGGCGAGCAACTATGTCGAATGCCGCCTATGACGAATGGTGGGCGATCGACGGACGAGAAAAATAATAATAATTATTATTATTATTATTATTACTATTATTCTTGTGGTGGTTTACGCGGGTATTGCACGGATCTATTGGATTTTGACCTAAACCTATGATTGCGATTACCGTGGTGAGGGCGAAGGGGGGAGGAAATCTTTCGGTACAAAACCGTTTTCCTCGTACGACAACTCAGATTGACACGGGAACGCGCCACGGTACTACTACTGCCGTGCCGACGGGACGGTGAACGAAACGCGGCGTCCGGTTCCGGGACGGTAACGTTGCGCCGGAAGACCGGACGCGGTTCGGTGTAATTGCGACAGTTGATCGTTTTATTTACCTGGTGCGAGTGGAAAATTTTGCGCGTCCGGGCGGGAGAGAGTGGAGAGAATGTTGACGTACGGGAAACGGCGCGCGACGGCGACAGCGACGGACGACCGACGAGCGGGAACTGCGGACGAGCGGACGTCTTTGTGCCGACGGAACGCGACGAGCCGTTTCGACGGTCGTTTCCGTAACCCGCGATCAGGGGTTCCGCGCGACGGTTTTTTAGCGGGAAAAACTCTTTTCCCCGGCGACCGTACGGACGTCGAAGACGAGCGCGCCCTGCCCCGCCGCGTGCAGTAGCTCCGCGCGCTCGCTCCGCAACCGTAACAACGGTAATCTCGAAACATCTACGCCGCGGCCCGTCAACATTGATAATCCGTTGACTAACGCTGTTGCAGCACGAAAACCGGAGACGTGCCAGGGATCGAAATGTAGTACAGGCCCGTTTACGATTATTTTCATTCGTACACATTATCATTTTCTCCCCCCCTCCCCCCGTGAAATTTTCATAACATTTGAATTAGAAAAAACCATTCCTCCGGTTCGACCTGTTAATAATATTTGAAGATGTTGAAAAGTAAATAATAACGGTGTTTAAAATATAATAACTATTCGAAAACAGGACAGGCCATTGATGAGAACTGTTGTTGCCGCTGTAACGATGACTTTTCGTCCCGGCTCTTACGGAAAGCCGATCGTTGTTTCGTCTCGCGGGTACAGAGGGCATAGTATGTTTACTATATAAAAAAAATTAAAAGCAATTGTATCGTTCATCACGCTCTGCCGTCGGAGGTTTAGGATTTTCATTAGCCTCGTGTTTTGGATGGCTTCCGAGGAAAAACGCAGCGTGTGTGACATAAAGTAACGTAATAATAAAGCGATTCTGTACGCGCATCGATCGTACCGCGTACAAACAGTGGTCTCGCAGTGATATGCGTAGAAATCCGAGTGGGTCTTTGATTGTTTGTCTTTGATTGTTATTGACGCATATAGTTACGATCTCAAAACGAAGCTTGTCCTAATACGCGATCCACTGCTCCGCCGTTCGGAGTGCAACACAACGGACGGAGAACGCGCATCCCTTCACCTCCTTCGCACATTCTCTCGCTGCGGGAGGATTATCTCGGCACCGCACACATGTACGTGCCCGCACACTTCCAGCTTTCTCCATCACCGCAGCTTCCACCGCCCGTCAACGAACGCATATGTCGATGCTGTAAGGGGTTGAAGGAGGGGGAGGAATGGAAGCCCCTACGGTGTTTTTCATCAAGTCCGGCCGGGCGCGCAGCCTTTACTCTTGGACAACGCATTCCATACCGCGCGCGCACGCACCGGCCGGTGTACACCGTACACACGTGTTATTGCCCTACCGAAACGCACGAACGGTATCAACGTGCCGCCGATGTTGTATTAAGGTAGGGCTAGGACGACGACCGGAAACCGATCGATGTGTTATCCAATTCCAACGTTAATTAATACAGCTGATGGCCACACGATTATTAATTATTCATCGGCGACCGACGCTCGTTTCAGTTCGAATACGTCGCGTATGCCGATGTATGTCAACGCGACGATTGCGTTTCAGAACCGACGAAAAACACATCGTACGCCGATACGGTACAAGACCAACGTGTGATTTTCGTCACAGGCACACGAATAACACTGGAACTTCGACGCGTTAATGGATTATTTATTTTTTTTTTTTTTGTAAAATTTAAATTATTTTCACCGGCTATTCTGTAGATAATATTGAGCTCGTGTTGATAATTGTGTTTATTCAATGGAGTACATTCATGTCTATAGGATATTTGAATTAAAAAATGGTATTTTTAAAGATTATTATTCTTACTGTAGACTTGAAAGTATTCCGTTAAATAAACATAGTTATCAACACGATTTCAATTTCATCGATAAAAATAATCTAAATTTAAATGTTATTAAAAAAAAAATAGATAAACGTATTAAAGAAAAAAGAAAAAACAACTGACTAAATAATGTTGTTAACTATTGTAGTATAGAAATAATATACCTAAAATATTCGCTAAGATTCTAAACATAATTCTAAGAATGTAAAAACCGTTTGTTTTTAAAACTAATAATGATTTAATCAAATATATAAATAATAGAACTAAAAACTTCATAAAAAATCGTCTTTCTTTTGAAAATTATGTTATATATAAACTTAAATGTAATTATAATATTTATTTTGATATAAATACGGATTTTGAAATATTAAATATCTAAAATAACATTTATATTAATTCAGTTTTAGAAGAGTTACACATACACGATACAATAAAAAAAATTATATTTTGATAATATTTTAAATGTGCAAACCGATGTGAACAATAAGTGAACAATAATCTTATATCAATACTTTTTAGATAATAATAAATAATAATGACCAAAGTATTTAAATGTCTTAACATATCTATATCTAACAAGAACTCATTTTAAATAATCTCTCCTATTAAAATAAATTATCTTTATGTTAAGCGTTCAATTTTTCTCAATGTATTCCTTCCTTAATTTTTTCATATTCAGTCGTAATTGTATTAATTTTGTATGTACCTAAAGATTAATTTTTAATTTGAAACCCATCGTATTTTGCCAATTTAATAATACTCCAGATTGAGCTTTTATTTATTTATATCTAATTATTTAATTATTACTAATTATTTAATAATTAGTTTATATATATAGATATAAATAAATAAAAGCTCAATCTGGAGTATTATTAAATTGACAAAATAAGATGGGTTTCAAATTAAAAATTAATCTTTAGGTACATACAAAATTAATATAATTACGACTGAATATGAAAAAATTAAGGAAGGAATACATTGAGAATAATTGAAAGTTTAACATAGAGATAATTTATTTTAATAGGAGAGAAAAAAAATAAAAAAAAAAAAAAATAAATAAATAAAAAAAAATAATAAATAATAATAAATTCTATTTAATTTATATAAAAATATTATTCGTATAAATCAAATCGTTAATTTTTGGCAATTTTTATATTTCTTTAATTTAATTAATCCAAAACATAAAAAAAAATACAAAATTAGAGTATTATAAAATATAAAATATAAAGTTTTATAAAATAATATAAGTGCATAATATGTAATTTTTTTATTTGGTGTTTAATTATTGGCGATCTCCAGGTTACGCACCACTGGTATAGTTCATTAGTAAATATCATTATACTAGAATAATATTCAAGATCAAAAATAAAATGTTTTATAAGCCAAATTACATGTGTAAACAGTGGGTTTGGCACCTTTGGCTTACATTGTCAATCTTTAGATACGTTCCTGCGCTGTGTATATACGACTCATACGTAGTGGCACACACTGGAGGGTTCAAGGGTAGCAGCTGCTACCCCTGAAAAATTGGGTGGGTGGGTGGTCTTCCTGGCCCCAAAATATCTGCATCTACATGACTACATCATAATAAATCTACTACGTACAGTGGCGTGTTGAAGAAGTTTTTGAAAGGCCATGGCCTCTGCATTTTTAGAGGTGGGTGGTTTGGGTAGCCGAAGTCTCATGACTTATATGAGGATATCAATTCAATTGTACCTATACCTACATAATTTACTTAAACGTGTAAACTTTACTTATTTAAATACTTTATTATTAAATCTTGAACAAGTTTAGATAATTCTAGTTAGAGGGTGTGGGGGCGAAGCCCCCGCGGGTTTGTTTTTGAAAGTGATTTAGTGGGTGGGTGTTATTTTTCCATTCAATATGCTACCCTTATTCATTTTTGAGTGTGCGCTACTGCTCATACGTGTCAGTGTAAATTGGTTCAAATGCTATATTTGTATTTTGATATTCCTACGTGCAGACACATACATAAATATTAATATGTGTTAATTGACAACCGTACTTGGAGTTTGAAAATTGCATAAGCTACGAATCAGGTTCGTACACAAAGGGGTTCAAACCTCCCCGAAATTCAGAAAAATAACATGGATACCGAAACAATGGGGGCAACTGCCCCCTAGGACATTTTCCTAGAATCTACGCTCATATGACTAAATATACATAGGCCATATTATACATTAAATTTTATGTTTCATATAGAAACATAGCTTAAATATATTTAATAAACTGTCTGTTTTTAAGTATTAATATACACCTACAATAAACCAATAGTTTTATTTAGAAATAACTGGCATGTACTATGTACCATGCACTATGTAGTTAATATTTTAATTAATATTTTAATGTATATGTTAATATTTTATGTAATATATGAGGTATGTGTATAAGAATAAGATAACATGGAGATAATTTCCCATTTATTTAGAAAATGGAAACGATTTAATATTTAACTGCAACACCCAAAATAAAATAGCTTTCAGAATAGGAAATCTATTATCGCGACTGTACAATAGATTTGTAATCTAATTAATGTTAAGAATTATTTGGTTACCAACAACCAGTGGCGTATACAAGGGGGGTGTTTGGTAGATATGACACCCCCCTTGAGCCGTATCATATATTACATTATTATAGGAATATAGGTAAATCGATAATACAATATGAAATATAAAATAATGCACAATACTAATTACATATATACAGGTTATCATTATCACGATTGCGACAATACGTGACGAAAATTATTCGTTTACGTTTTCGTGCAACACAAAACGTTTAATAATAATAGGTATTGTAGCATCGAATACTGATATTCGAATAGTCAAATATTCGAATGATTTATGGTAAAGCTATCCGAATTCGAATATACATTACATCTCTATTACAGACATTATGTATACATATTAATTAATTAATTAAAAGTTTTAGTTTGTACGTATTATATGTAATATTTAATAATTATAATTAACACTCCCCTTCAGAAAATCCTAGCTACGCCACTGCCAACAACCAATGTGATCGGACACGATCGTTATAATATATCTTTACTTTCCTCTGTATTTGCAGCTGTGCTCATCAGTCCTCACGATTCAAAAATTGTTCCAGCGCCACTGATGATAAAATATGTTTTTAGTGAGTAAAAGTGGCATTTAGGTAGATTATAAAAGTATGAGAATGTACAACTTAAAACCTCCCCAAAATATTTTGTTTGTGTACGTGCCTGCTATTAATGATATGATACAAAAATAAATTGGTTGTTTGCGTAAGACCTCGTTTTGTAAGATGACCGTTCATTTGATTTTAACTGTATTAAGCATAAAATGCATGGATTTACATTAATACATTAATACTCGCTAAGTTCTATTGAAAACTCATGTTAGAAAACATATT